TTGGAGAAGGAAGTTATCATCCATGCATTCCAGGAACCTCCTGGTTTGCCTATGCCCTGCTGTGTTGTCCTTCCAACAGATATTGGGGTGGTTGAAGTCCCCCATGAGGACCAGGGCTCGTGAATGTGAGGCAGCTCCTATCTGTCTGTAGAGGGCCTCATCCACCTGGTCCTCCTGGTCAGGTGGTCTGTAGCAGATTCCTACTATTACGTCCTCTGTCCCTGCTCTCCCTTTAATCCTAACCCATAAGCTCTCAGTTGGGACCTCATTCGTCCCCAGGTGCAGCTCCATGCACTCCAACTGGTCTTTGACATAGAGGGCAACCCCTCCTCCTCTTCTCCCCTGCCTATCCTTCCTAAAGAGCCTGTACCCTTCTATTCTGACACTCCAGTCATAGGATTCATCCCACCATGTCTCCGTGATGCCAATAAGATCATATCCCAACAGGCGCGCACACACTTCTAACTCCTCTTGCTTATTCCCCATGCTGCGCGCATTGGCATAAAGGCATTTAAGTTGGGCCCCAGATGAATCTGACTTCCTGGCTGAAGCGGCTGGAATTGCCTTCTTCTGTTCTTCAGGTACTTCCAGCATATCTTTATCATTCTTGATATTACCCCCCTCCCCCTGCGAATCTAGTTTAAAGCCCTGTCAATGAGCCTTAGCTGTTGCGCTAAGACCCTCATTCCCCTCTGAGAAAGACACGTCCTATCTGGAGCCAGTAGGCCTGGTGCCGTATGGCCCATGCCATTGTCAATTATCATCCCATTATTATATCCTTTAGGAGTGGTTTCTTGCTCCTGTCTACCTGTTGCTCTAACAGGAAAAAGGATGCCATGTTTGATGTGCTATAGCTGCTCTGCTGGAGTAGAGGGGCTTCCACTCTGAGTCATTTCAACTGTAATTTTGCAAGAGCGTGGGCATCTGGGCATGACAAACTTGATTAACTGCAACTAGCGGCCTTTGTTATGAATCCAGGGCATCCTTTTAAGCCTTGTTCTGCTGCTGTGGAGCTTTACCTCTCTCCTCTCTCTCTCCTTTGCACACACACACGCATCTTTCCGTTTGTATTTCATTTGTACCCATCCCGGTTGCTGCCGGCAGCTCTGCAGCAGGCATCATCCAGAGAGCAGGATGGCACCAAGCAGGCTCTGGGTGTGCACAGAGCAGAAGGACGGTCTCTGCCCCAGCGCGTTCGCAATCTGACCATGCCAACAAACAGACAAAGCGCTGGAAGCAGGCTGTGGCTTTGAGGGACGTGGCCTTGAGGAAGAAGCGAGTCCGGGTTGATCAGAGTGTGGGCAGTGATTTCAGCATGACCAGGGGCCTCCCTCCGCTCTGCTTTATGGACCCAGAAAAATAAAAAAAAGGAAGAGAGATGGGGGTTGCTGCCTCTGCCCAAAGCCCTGAAGGTGCTTGGGCTGGAAGCAGATGTGTCCAAACGTGCAGACCTTGCATGTCCCTGGCAGAGTGGCTGGGGAGAGAAGTCCCCACAGCCCCTCCAGCGCCGGCGCTGCTGGCACAGTCTGCGTGGCTGGGGACATCCCTGGGCACGGCAGCCCCTGCCCTTGGCTTGTTATTCTCCACAGAGGTAGAGATCAGTTGCGGAAATGTCATCCTGCTGCTGTTGCTTCCTCTCTCCTTTTGCATGTGCCTCCCTTGTGCATTCTTTGTGAGGAAACAATAACAAAAAGAAGGAAGAAAAGCTAGATTTTCCCGTGATGTGCAGAGGCAGTGATACTGTGATCTCAGTGTGCTTTACTTCAGATTACTTTTTCTGCTTTTTGTGCAAGAAGGGGTAGATTTTATCAGTGTTAGTAGCAGTTAAAAGATGACGAAGCTGGAGAAGGAGAGGTGTCTTACAATACCTTCCTATAACTTCAAGGAAGTCAAGAATGACATGAACGAATGAGAAAGATTTATCTAATATTGTACATCTCTTGTGCCACAGCTTTTGTTCTGTCTTCTTTCTTGGTTTACATCTGCAATAAAAAGCTGGAAGATTTCAACGGCCACCCTAGCAGAGGGATTGTGCTGGCGATGCTACAATTCAAAATCCTCACCACCCCATCTATTTCATATTGAAATCAGGAATAAAGGTTTTATTAGCTTCTCACGTGTTTTTGGACCTCACTCCTATGCCTCATCCCAGCTTCTTTCCTCACCGTCTCACCCACACCAACCACCTCAGGGCTGGTTTCTGGCTAGACTCAAGGTGATGTTTTCACCCCCTTCCACGCTCGTTCTTCTTTTCGCAGCTCGCTCAAACGGCGGGCCATACCTGCAGGACGCCTTCATGTGGCACCAGCCAGCCTCCTCGTAGATCAGACGTTGATGATGGTTTCCAAGGGAAGTGTCTCCTTTCCACACGTTGTCCAACAGCCATCCAAAACCTTGCTCCCCACTGGGGGTCTCGGGCTTGCTGTCCCCTTGCTGCTGCTGAGGTTATGGGAGAGCAGCCCCCCACCTCAAAAACCACATCCCTCACTCTAGGATGGTGGCATGTGGATGCTGGGATTGAACTCTTCAGGTGGACATGGAACAGGACAAGGGCCCCAGCTGCCCCTCCAGCTGGGTAGGCAGACCTTGGGGCAT